GAGTTTAAGTTTGACTTCTGTAAATAAATAAATTAGTGTATAATAGATCGTATTATATCATATTGTCAATTTTATGTATTAAACTTAAAATGTATTGTATTAAATTGTATATTTTATATAAATTTATTGCTAAAATATATATATGAAGTTATACATGACAATATTAAACTGTTTATTAGTTAATTATTATGTTTTTAAAGGGAAAACCTCATAAAAACCGAACATATTTTCATCTAATTCTTAAAAAACACTATATTATTTTTTAGTGTACTAAAACCCTTATATTTTATGAAAGTCTTATTTAAGTCTTTGTGACCTTAAAAAACTCAATCTACTTTCATTTAAAAATTAAAAAACCACCATATTACGTTTTTAGTGCATCAAATCCCTTATATTTTATGAAAAATTCTAATATAACGGATTGTAATTATCAAACCGTTGAGAATCGATTACCTAACATTTTTAGCTATTTAGAATTACCAAACTCAAAGCCTTTGATTATATATTTTAAAAAACATAAAGGTTTTAATGTACAAAAACTAATATGGGGTTTTGAAATGAAATAAGCCATACATATACATATATATATATATATATATATATATATATATATATATATATATATATATATATATATATATATATATATATATATTACAATAAATAAGTGATCTTTTTATTTAAAATATATGTTAATAAACTAAAATATATTTTTAATTAAATAACTATATTTATATTTATATAGTACATATTATCTCATTTTAATTATACGTACCCTCAAATCAAACATATATATATATATATATATATATATATATATATATATATATATATATAATATATATATATATATATATATATATATATAATCTAATGGACAATAAATAGTCATGCATTCAAATAATATTTGTAGTTCATATAATCGTAACTATCTTTCTCTCTCTCTCTCTCTCTCTATATATATATATATATATATATATATATATATATATATATATATATATATATATATATATATATATATTAACAACATTTTCAAGTATAATTGGAAAAACTTTATTATCTTTTTTTTTTTTTTTGTTCTGACCACAAATTTTTATACATAGTTGTTACTATAGCCCATTTAATAATTTTCATGGTTTTATTATTATTATTATTATTTTTTTTTGCAAAATCAATCATAAATTAGGTTTAAAGTTCAAATTTGGTTCTTATTGTTTGCTAAATATTACATCACATGTTCAAATTTCGGTTTTATGTTTTTTTTTAACTTTTAATTTAATTTTTTAGTCAAAACAAAATTAGGTTTTATATATATATATTTTTTTCCGTTTTTTATATATATTTTTTATATTTTTCGTATTTTTTGTTTTTTCTTTCATTTTTTTTCATATTGTTTTTCGTCAATTTGATAATTTGTTTTGATATTTTTAAAAAGTGTGAAGTCTATAAGTATCTTTTATAATGGAATAGAGTAATAACTTTACATAAAATTTATGGCTAAAGCCGACAGAAGAAAATAATGATACAAATTTTCTCAATTATGACTTTGCGTGAAAATATGAAAATATTATGGTTTTTATGTATTTACCAATTGAATTCAACCATTAGCCAAAAAAACATTTTCCATTTTCCTATACATAAAATCTTTAAAATGTATTAATATGGCCTGCTTTCAACTCGGCCCATTAAAAGGCCCAAGTGAAGCTAAAAAGTTCTGAAACTTGGACAGCCAGAGATCTCTATTTCTCTTGTGCAACGTTTTTTATTTTTTATTTTAAAACAAAAAATGCCAATACCAATTGTTTTTCCATATAATATAATTAAAATAATTAAACTAACGACAGTTTATGAAGAAAAAGTCCCAGACTTTCAGTTCCCTGCCTTATCACAATACGTTTTCAGAACAAAAATATTTTGTAGAAAAAAGGTTTGCTACTCCTTTATGACATTAATTTTATTAAATAATGTTAATACACTATAATATGGTTATAAAATCATCGATTGTACATATTAACTTTCATAAACGATCTAGACGGTTAATGTTAGACGGGTGGGAGCGGGCAACGGCGAGCCACATCATTCTGACGTGGCATCCAAATAACGCCGGTATAACGGGTGGAACATCGTCCCCCGTCCCCGTTATTAAGCATTATGTTATTCGGCGTTTGGGTGGTAACGGGACGAAACACATGTGAAGGGTTTATTTTTTAACCGTTGTGGAATTGTTACAAATTAAAAAAAAAAAAAAAAAAACATTTTAATTCCAATACACACACTTTAACTTTAAATTTTTACATACAAAATTCATCAAATTCTCTCTATCAAGTTTATTATATTTTCTATATTTCTATTTACAAAAAACTGGACCATTTTGATTTGTTTCATCTATACAATCATGATATCAACGAGGATGATATGTCTCTCAGTATGATGTACTGATATGCTATAGACATGGTACCGTCAGAGCCATCTCCACTACTGACCAAATGTGTGGCGTTGAACAAAGATCGTGAAGAAGTGCATAGATGTCTAGTACACAATTATTTTGCAGATAACTATGTCTACTAATCTAGCGATTTTAAAAGAGGGTTTCGTTTGCGGAATGTGTTTCAATGGATAGCCAATGCAATGGAAAACAGGTACCATAATTATAGTTGTTTTTAAAAAGTAAATATATGTTCTTTAAATTATTAAATAATTGTTTTAAAAATTAAATATATATATTTAGGTATGAATATTTCCAAATGAGGTATGATGCGAGAGGTAAACAGGATTTTACAGGGTTACAAAAATATGCTGCAATCAAACTTATGGTTTTGGGGGAGTCGTTCGATTCTATTGATGACTATATGATAATGTCAGAGCGAACTGCACAAGAAAGTTTGTATAGATTGGCGAGAGATGTTATCGAAACCTTCGGTGACAAATACTTGCGCAAACCTTCATTGAATGACATGCAACAACTATATGTGGTACATGAAGAACGACATGGTTTTATGGGTATGCTTGGAAGCATTGATTGCACAAAGTGGATATGGAGAAATTGTCATGTGGCGTGGAAATTTCAATACACAAGTGGTCATCTTGGATCACATTTGTTAGTATTAGAGGCTGTTGCGTCACAAGACTTATGGATTTGACATGATTTTTTCGGAGTTGCGGGTTCTAACAACGATGTAAACGTTCTTGATCAGTCACCAATATTTCAGGGCATTTCGACAGGAAAAGGTACCAGATGCTCCTTTCAAAGTAAATAGCCATGAGTATAAGTTCGGGTATTACCTCATGGATGTAATATATCCACCATATTCCACATTTGTGAAGACGTTTCGACACCCGATAGAACCAAGAGACAAAATTTTCAAGAGAAGACAAGAAGGAGTACGTAAGGACGTGGAACGTGCTTTCAGAGTTCTGAAAACAAAATGACACATAGTTGAACATGCAACACGACCATATGAGTTGGACACTCTATGAGATATTATGTATGCATGTATCATAATGCATAACATGGTCACTAAAGATAAATGACGAAATATTACGAAGTTTTCGCCTACGGAACCTAGACGCATTCAATTTCAACCAGGGACAATAGAATATTTACATATAGTCGTTGACATTGAAGACTAACAAAAACACAAGCAACTTCGAAAAGGCTTGACTGATCATATCTACGATGGTACTGAAAATGAATAATTTAGGTCAAAAATGTAATTTTCTCGTCTTTTTTTTTATAGGTTTTTAAATGTTTTTATCATTTGTTGTAATTTTTTATGTTGTTTTTAATTTAGGATTTATTAATTTTTTTTGACTTTTTAAATGTTATTTTTAATTTATGATTTAATTTATATGATAATTATAAATATTATGACATAAATAAAAAAAACAAATTGGAAGTATAGAAATTAAAAACATAAAAAAACTAAAAAAAAATAGAAAATAAAAGATGTTATTACATGTTATTTGATGTTGTCTATTTCTATATTGGGTATTGTAACATTCATGTATGACTAGGATGATGATGTGACACATTTTGCGTGTGGTAACATACAATAACATGTTGTCCACACCTAGCAACCTTATCCAATAGAATAATATTATTATAATAATTTGCATACTTGCATTCTTATTAAGTATTAACTATACTACTTTACATATTTGCACATACATTGATACATTAATTTTATCAAAACAATTAAGTAAGTTATCCTGCCCTAACATCAAATACATTGTCCATTGTCTATGTAATTCCAACAATTTATTTAACTATTTGGATTTTCTTCTAATTATTCTTATAGATAATATTGGCCAATATATATCATTAATAGAATATTACACTCTCTTTTAAGCATTCTCTAATGATTCTACTATTTCCAATCGACGAGAGATGTCTAATTTGATGTAAAACATGATTCGACACATTTGAAGAACATGCGGTACATTGTAGATCTTTCAGATGATTCAGCGTATCGATACGATATTGATAGGGACATCATTTTCTATTTAGGCTTTCTAGGGATTTTGCCAAGAAATAGTGATTGTGAACTTCTTAAGTGACGCATTGGAAGTAAAGTCATAAGCTTGATTTGATTTTAGTTTTTGGATGGGTGAGAGAGTATTAAGCATGTATGGATCAAACATAGGTTTTCTCTTTGGTGGACTCGAAGAGTAGGACTTTCACTATGAGGCAAGTTATTTTAAAAACAATGGAAAATCGACATGTTTATAGACCATCCATATTAATTGATATATTTGGTTCATCTACGTCAAAGGCTGTGGAGCTCCCGGATATTATGAATATTCATTGCAATTGCAATTGCAATATTTAAGACTTTAAAATTTATGGATGTGTATATTAAAAAAAATAGTTTTATAAAAAGTTCACAGCCCAACTTGTTTCCCGATTCACTTTCTACCTTAAATGCAATTAAATCCTACATGTCTTATCTTTATCAAAATTCAAAAATTAATTATCATCTACAAATATATGTTACTAGGTTGGAGACTATGCATCTTCAAGTTTGATAAGAAAATGAAAGTATGAGCATTCGCAAAATGCTTTCACGTTTTTTAAGCGAGATTGAAGCTCATTTTGCAAGCTTAAAATGAAAAAAGTTACAGACTTTGTAATATCATCAGAGCTAGAGTAACACGAATGCGAAGAGATTTGAGTTGAAATTTGCATCCGTTGAAGTAAATTATGTCCTTCAATTCGTGAACTATGATTGCAATAGGAAGAGCAATTTCAATCATCAAAAACTAACAAATTAACAGCAGATTAAAAATTAAAAAAAAAAAAAAAAAAGTACCACAAAATCATGAACTAAACAATTGAAATTTTGGCGCCAGCTTCTTCAAGTTGTTTCTTCGCATCTTCAGCTTCATCTTTCGATATTCCTTCCTTGAATTTCTTCGGAAGTCCTTCAATGAGCTCTTTCGCCTCTTTAAGCGCCAAGCTCGTCATAGCCCTAACGACCTTAATCGTCGCAATCCTCGCATTACTCGGAACTTCATCAATAACCACATCAAACTCCGTCTTCTCCTCCACTACTGCCGCCGCTTCTGCCCCCGCTCCTCCAGGCGCCGCCACAACAGCAGCAGGAGCGAAAGACGCAGCGGTGACTCCGAGCTTGTCTTGGAGATATTCGACGAGTTTCTGTGCATCTGATAGCGTTAGATTCGAGATTTCATCTCCTAGCTGTACTACCTTCTCCTCCGCTACCACGGCCACAGGACGGAGTAATGTCGATCTGCGAGCGAGTTTGGTAGTTCGGAGGGGGAATTCTAGATTCTGTTTGGGGAAAACTAGTGATGTAGGTGTAATGAGGGCTGCTGTGGATGATGAAAGGCGAGAGGATGAACGTAGGGTGACTGTAGAAAGAGCTGAAGATGTTGCCATTGAAGCAGAGCTTGGAGAAGAGTGAGGGGACGAGAAAGATAAGATAAAAGGGGTTGATGTTTGCTTGATTTTGAGATAAAATGTATAGAGACGTTCGAATTTCTTTTCAGTGCAAAATGCAAACTCAACCCTGAACTTTAGAAAAATGTACATTTATAGTCTACAGATTTTGGTTCTACAACTATAGTCCCAAGTTTTTAAAATGCTAAAAACTATAGCATCAAAACCCAAAACCAGAATGTAATTAATAATGTAATAGGTTTTTTGTACTGCTTACACAATGGATGCTTGGAATTGGTTCCATACATAATCTAAACTCGACTAACATAAATTTTTTATAATACAGAGAAATAAAGTCAGCGAAAATGAATTACTTTGTTGTTTGATATTGAGAATAAGGAAATCAGAAAAAAGAAATTGATTCTCTTTCCACCTAATTGGTTTTTTATTTTTCATAGAGAAAATATGGAAAAAAAAAATGAAGCTGATAAGGTGTCGTGAGATAAAAAACAGAGAACTAAAAGAAAAGAATGGCAACCTACATCCACTCATGTTCGAACCCTACAATGTCTATCTCAAGACGATTTCATATTTATCTCAAACAATTTTCCCTTCTAATCAGGTCGAAATTGACAGCCAAAGTTATCTGGATCCCCTCACATTCATGTTCCAACAATTTCCTCTCTCCTAGGAATATTTTGTGTCTACTGTTGACGATTTTGGAAACCAAATTCTCCGATTAAGGTATTTTTATCTCTTTTATCTCATCGATATAATTGATATTGTTATTAATTTTGTGAATTTAATTAGCATGGTATTTGATGTTGTTTTTATTCAATATTGTGATTTTGGAAACCAAATTCTCCAATAAAGGTATTTTTATCTCTTTTATCTCACCGATATAATTGATATTGTTAATAATTTTGTGAATTTAATTAGCATGGTATTTGATGTTGTTTTTATTCAATGTTAAGTATAACGCGTGCCTTATTTTGGTTGATGTAACTAATTGTTTGTCTGTTAATCATAAAAATAAGAGTAGCAACACATTACATTGAATTTGTAGATGATAAATAACATGGGACATAATTAATGGGATGACAGGTATGGGCCTTTTGTTTTTCTTAATAACTTGTTTGGAACTCAAAGCAGTATGGACATATTAGTAGCTTCTCCCCCCCCCCCCCCCCTCCACCCTTTTTTTTTCCGAGATGACAAATAAAATGAAAATAAAAGAACCAACGTCAAGCAAGGAGCTAGACGCGGCCCAGAACAAAGAAGTACAAAAGGTCTAATCATACAAGATCACACCTAAACGGACAATTTATCCACTCCGACCATCTACACGAACTGTTACTTCCCCTGAACTTGTACCAAGAATATACTAGAAAGATTATATTATCAGCTACCTTAGATGGAGATTGTGAGATCATGTTATGCTTTTTGTTCATTCCTAGCTTTCCAGATACGCCAAATGATACAATTGATGATGGAAACTAGCAATTTTCGTTTCTTAGGGCAATTTCCCCAGCTCATTGCAAAATTGATAAGTTCCCCAATGTTGGTGAAGTGCCTGAAGGGAATATCACACCATTTTAGACTCCCCTCCAGCACAGATTCTGCAAATGTACAATTAATAAAGAGATGATCTGCTATTTCCATTCCACTATCACATAGATGGCAAGCTAATAGATGGAACTTGAACTCTTCTCCTCAATAATTCGATAGCTACAGGGATCCTGCCCGCCACAACTCTCAACACGAAGCACTAGACTTTTAAAGGTGTAATCTTATTCCACATGAATTTTACTCCACTTGTTGCTGTCAGCTTTAGGTCTATGATTTTCCTGACTGCTTCCGACCGTGAAACCACCGTCATTATTGAGTATACACCCGAACATATCATTTCCTTGTAGGAAATTATAATTACTCAAAATGAAGTCAAGCTCATGTAACTTATTCAAAGCTTTAATGGAGGTAATCTTTGATCTCCAGGCCCAATAGAAGCTGTCACGTGGTTTTCTTTTGTAAACAAAGCATGTTTTTCGTGATTCTAAGGAGTATAATGTTGGGAACCGGGTCTGCTGCAGGATGGAGTCAATCCACTTATCTTTCCACGACAACGTACTATTTCCAAATCTAATATGGATCTGGAATAAATCATCATATGAAATTCCAAGTCTTGATGTGTAATCAAAGACATTGGAGATATTTTGCCACATGCCCGGTAAGGTTTTCTTTGCCAGAAATGCCCCCGGTTTTTCTCACCAGGTTATGTAGCCCCACTATAACTTTGCACCATAATGCTTTCTTTTCTGTTTGGAGCCGCCAAACCCATTTCATTATTAGACCAACATTGTGAGCCTTTAGTGAGCCTATCCCCAAAACACCATCATCTTTGGAAGCAGTCACCTTATCCCACGATATCCAGTGTCTCCTTTTCTTTTCATCAGTCGCGCCGCCCTATAACTTATTTTATCCAGTTCATCTAAGATACCCATTGGGGCTGAAAATAAAGAAAAATAGTAATTTAGGAGACTTCCAAGGACCGATTTCAATAATGTCAATCTACCCTCGAAAGAGAGAGATATTACTTTCTAACTTGATAACCTTGAGTGAAATCTGTCAATCACTGGCTTCTAGTATTTCTTACGAGACATGTTTGCTCCAACCAGGACTACAAGGTACATAAATGGTAGAGAATCTACCATACATTCTATGGAGGCAACCCTTCTGTTAATCTCTATCCTATCGACTCCTATACCGATAATCCGAGATTTGTGGAAGTTTACTTTTAGCCCCAAAACAATCTGGAAACACCACAAAATCCGAGCTATGTTCTTGATATTGGAATGGGACCACTCACCTACGAAAATAGCATCGTCTATGTAAAAAAAATAAGAGATGATCTGGCCACTATTAGGGATCTCTAATCCATGGAAAATAGACTTGTTACAAGCAGTTTTCATAGCAATGTTCAAGCCCTCCATTGCCAAGATAAATAGGAAAGGAGAGAGTGGATTATCCTAATGTAGAATAAAAACCATTTCATAATCAACAAACAGTATTTCAAATAACCAAAGCATGCCATAGAAAAGTAATATTAGAGTACAACTCCTAAAGATCTCATAATGCAGAAATCATAGTGTGATGCGTTGTGATCATGCCGACTTATTTCCTTTCGAAGAATAAGTACCTGAAACCAAAAATGTAAACTGTAAGCACGAAGCTTAGTGAGTTCCCTCATCATACCACACACCATACAATACACATACTGCCTAGCATATCCGGGTGTTGGCCTACCCCTTCGGTCTCTTTCAACCGATAACCGCCTATGATATCAGGGTGTTGGCCTACCCCTTCGGTCTCTTTCAATCGGTAACCACCTAGCATAATAGGGTGCTGGGCTACCCCTTTGGTCTCTTTTAACAGGTAACTGCCTAACATATCGGGTGATGGCCTACCCTTTCGATCTCTTTCAACCGGTAACCAGGGACTTTTTCACCCCTACCACGACCACATAATACCCTAGCATATACACATAAATCATATACTGCCTAGCATATCTGGGTGCTGGCCTACCCCTTCGATCCTTTCAACCGGTTACGGGGACTATTTCATCCCTACCATTACCACATAATAGCATACATAATCATACTGCTAGGCATATTTAGGTACCAGACCTACCCTTTCAGTCTTATTGACCGGATATAGGGTCTATTTCACCCTTACCACTACCACATAGCATAATAGCACATATAATCATAACAAATAGTGGCATACCAAACAATTAACACAAAGACAATCATCTAATTATAAACAACTACTAGTAGGCTAGCATTGGTGCCTTCGACCCACTTCTACAGGAAGGTAACTCACCTCACACTGCTGAAGTCCTATAGACAAAACTCTAGCTGCTGGATGACAGATTCCCGAACTATCAACATCAAAACAATACCCAATTAATAATTGGGTTCCAAAACATAACCATAAGTCCATGCTTGGGGTAACAAGACTACTTTGCCCTCAACCTAGCTTGATTCAAGCCCTAGTCCCAAACTCATACTCCAAAGGCCCAGAAGTCAAACAATGAACCAAAGCCCAACATATGGCCCAATTTTCCAAATTGTGCCCAAACCTCTACATAGTCTTACCCTAAGGCCCAAACATTTATTATAGTCCCAACACTTGGCATTTCGATGGTCCAATATCTCATAATCATCAATGCTCAATTGTGGCCCATCTATGGCCCAATTTTCCAAATTGGGCCCAAACCCCTCACATGAGCCTTACCCTAAAGCCCATCCAAATATTTTATTCTATATACTTGTTCTTAAATGGACCATCAATAGCCCAATCACCAAAGCCCAATAGAAAGGCTCAACTCAAAGCACCAAACAAAATTAGGGTTTTCACATAAAATGACAATTAGGGTTTAGTGTTCTCACGTAACCTGTTAATGACTTAATCCATTAAGTCCATCACTCTACTAGGTCAACCATACAATGTGGTCAAGATTAATTCATAATTCCAATCCAATGGTCCAAACATGCGGGTCCTGACAATTCCAAATTAACATATCCAAAATTAGGGTTTTCGAAACCCTAATTTGGGTTTCCAACCCAATCGCGTTCCAATTAGTCCATTTGTTAAGTTTTTAGGTTAATTAATTTTTAACTAAATCGGGCACCACCCAGTACCACCTCAGGTAGTGGTGGTCAACGACGGCTCACGGCGGTGGCCACCACCTCACGGTTGTGGTGACAGATTTCTTTGATTATTCCGGCCAAAACACAATTATACAACATAATATCCAAATGAACATACAAAAATTAACACACACACACACATACTCAGCCAACCTTGTGGCGGCAGGCGGTGGTTGGAGGTGACAACCACCACCTCATGGTGGTGGTGGTGGCTTTTCTCATGAAGTCCAGCCAAGCAAACCAGGTCCGATTTTAAGGTGGGGCAAAAGGTGCAGCCGCACAGGGCCCCAAAAAAAATAAAGCCCAAGTTTTAATTAAATTACATATTTAATAATTAAATATATATGAATTTATTCAAGTTTTTGCATAAAGTCTTTATAGCCAAATTGGCATAAGCATATTGTCTAT